TTTTCAATATTATTGGCATTTCCGACTTTCATTCTGCGGTTACTTTCTGCGTATATATAATTTTCTTTTATTGTTTCTCAATATTATTAGCACTTTCATATTTTATTTTACTATTATATACCACACTTCCTTTTCAAAATAATATTTCACACTTTAGCAATCAGATTGGTGATATGTTTGAAATATATTTTGTGTATTGTTTCTCAATATGTATGGCATTTCAAAATTTTGTTTTTCAATTATATGTCACGCTTAACTAGCCATATAGATATGCGGGTTTTTGAGATATATTTTGCGCAATGTTCATCAATATTATTGGAATGCCATAATTTTGACTTAGTATTGATATCTTGACACTCACAACATAGCATCTGTTTAATCCATATGTTGCACCATAGGGTTGAAATAGGCGAACATTTGTGATATGCTCTGTGTATTTCTCAGTTTCAAATATATAACACGTTCGGATCGATTTGTCTAACTTCACGTTGCATTTTGAGTATTTTTTGACATGGAAGATTATTTCCAACACCAAACACAGTGCACAGTGCACGAAAGACTGAACATTGAAAAAAGAAATGCTATTTTTTGTGATAAATATTGCTAAATGGTTCGAATCCATCGGTAATTAAAGCGACGTCATACGCTTTAAAATGCATATTAAAATAAAAGCAACATCATTTATGTAGACATCCTGGACGACATATAAGAGGGGTCCGGATTAGTGCCGAAATAGGCTAAAACATTTGGTGGTCTGAATTAAGTGGACGAATTAAGCGGACAAAAATTTTATATCTGTTATCGAGAGGATTGTGTTGACTCTTTTTCTCCGTAGTTGTCAACGGCTCTCGCGCTCTCCAAGCACGTATAATGATACGGACACAGGAACGAAGTCCGCTTAAGTACTTCAATTATGGCAGGTCCGTTTAACTACCGTGATAGAGTTATATATATACTCTTTTTACTTCACTGGATAACGAAATCGATCTGTAACCAGGAAACGCCAATTCAACTCGAGAAAGCATCCCAAATTATTACTTTTTTTTACGCAGTCATGCATACCATACAAGTAAACAGTATCCACGCATAAGATTGTCAGTACAGGTGCGTAATCACATTCGGGGTTAAATATAATTTACAAGAGAGCTATGCTCAAATATATGGACACGTAGCGACACCCAGTGGCAATAATTTTGATGACGTCATAGCGAGAAAAAAAAAGTAATAGCTTTCTGGAGAAAAATTTTATCTTTAACCACTGAAAATATCAAAGCAATTGGTCCAGTATTCGAAGAAAAAAGCGATTTTTTAAAAATGGAGACGGAGACAAATAACAACAATAACAACAACAAAATTTTGAAACGATCGTTATGGCCACTAAACGTGTCCAATAAAACAGAAGAGATGTATTCAGGCGACCTTCTTCTATCCTGATTTATCTGTTTCAAGCCAACAATAAAGTATCCTGAGTTTTGCTTACTGTGGCTATATCAAAGATACAGTAACATTTTGATTTCATTAACTTTGCGGATGTCTCGGACTATAGAGAGTTGTTTGATGTGGCTATGTGAACGGACACACTGCTAGCAAAAAGTTCTTCAACGAAAAGATTCTGTCTACCTCGCGTTTCTAACTTTTCACAATACAATTCCTCATCTTATTTTTTCAAGTTTTATCATTTATTTCACGTTCACATTTATTTTATAAATAAACCTTGTTACATAGAATAGTCTGTGATTTTTACTGAAGTTGTCCTGTAAAATGTAATGCCGGGATATTTACGATAATTTTTACCGGGTTCTGAATGTAAATTCACCGAATTTGTAATGTAAATTTACAGGCTAGCGTCGATAAATATTACTACGCATTGCCGGTGTAATGACCGGAAAACACTTGTAAAGATTACTAGTGATATCCTTCAATTCACAGATGATCAATAGCGATTTTACCGTTAATTCCTGTAATATTCACCCTAAAATCGCCTTAAAAAATTCACAACTACATTCAAGTAATATGTAATGGCAGGCGATTGCCGGTAAATATATTTTAAAGTGAAAAAAGACCATCGCCTCTAAGTGCATGGAAACACTGGTGTAAAATATTAAAAATGTCAAAACACTGATATGTAGGGCTGGGGTACTTCTTCATTATCGCAACCCACTCGTTTTGCCGAAGGCTGCCCTTGATCTAATTGCTTTTGCAGTAGGCTCGTGAGCTAAGTTTCATGATTTTTCTTACTCAAAACGTCTCTCTGATATATCGGATAAACATTCCGGTTAAACTCTTATGATTTTATTAATTTTATCAAGTTGTTTAATCATAAAAATACATGACGTAAAACCTTGTTATATGTAGGAATTTTGTGAAAAGAAAAATCATAACTTAATTCATGTAGCGTATTGATCAAACGTAAAACATATGAATTTTTTTAATTACACAAATAAGCAAGCATTAACAATCAATTGTGGGCAAACTTCATATGATAAATGCACAATTTCGCGAATATCAGTAAACAGACCTCCATTTGAGTTTATAAAAATCGGCATGTTTGCACTTGTCCACCACCGTAAATGTTGACTAATGATGTATATGGGCAAGTAAGAATATAGACCTTAATCTAATTTCTAAAACCATCTTTCACGGGTAAGTTGAAAGTAGAATGAGCAAATAATTCTTAACAATTGCTGATGTTTGAACGTTATGATGAATGTTGTCTATATTGGCCACCAGAGATCAAACAAGGGGTACTTGCACTAACAATCAGTCGTGAGCAAATTCTATATGATAAATGCTCAAAGTTACAATTGCCAGTGAACAAACGTCTATGTGAGTTTAAACGTAATTAAAATTCGGCATGTTTGAACTTTGCCCACGACCGCAGATGTCTAAAAATGAAGTATGTATATATGGGAGAGTAACTATATAGACGACTTTGATCTAATTTCTAAACCCATTATTCGCGGGAAAGTTGAAAGGAGAATAATCAAATAGTTTTTACCAATTGCTCATATTTCAACGTTTTGATGAATGTGGTCTATTGCCCACCAGAGATCAAACAAAGAGTGCTTGCTGCATGACATTTATTCTTGAATGAGGCGAACGCCACATGCGGTTCAAATTCTTTGAAACAATGCGGAGCAATCTGGTTATCAATTGGAGATCAAGTTTCACGTTATTTTACTTCTGCATGCATAATATTTCGTCACCGGGAAAATATTACAGTCATGACTTCTCCAGACAAATAATTGTCTCTAATTTCGTCAAACTTATGTGCACATTTAACATCATAATGGTTAAAATTCATAAAAATGTTTATGAATCAGTGCACCCGGTTGAATAGCACTGGTTGAAACATTGATTCCTCTCGCTCATCCGCATTAACTTGATAATTGTGCTCATTACGTTTAACCATTCCCATGATCCCTCATTGTCGCAAGTGATGTAAACACTACTACAAGCGAGCGCACACTCTCCGCTGAAAGCCACCTAGTCATTTTTATGTAAATATATATATATACTTAATGCTTAATTAAGTCATGAATAATGTCATGATAAAGTTGTTGGTGATATTGCATTGGTTGTATATGCATATGACATTGGTCGTATGTGTATATTGCATTGGCTCTATATGCATATCAGTGGGACATCTCCGCATATGACATTGGCTGTATGGACATATTACTTTGGCTGTACGAGGTATATACATTTTTGGCTGTATTTGCTATATATGCGCATTTGATTGCCTCTGCGTGTGTATGATTTGGCTGTGTACGAATGACATCTACTGTGGGGTATATGCATATGCCAAATTATTTTTGTAAGTTGAGGCTATGCTCGTGTGGTAGTAGCTTACCTTACAAAACAGCTCTAAACACCAAAACGATCATGATTGAAACATGTGACTTCTGAAGCAAGTTACTTTGATTGGTCGGCGTCAAGAATTTTAATTTGATTAGTTTTATGACAGTTTACTGCCAATGTCCAAACTATTGTTAATTGAAGAGAAAATTTCTATGTAGTTGTTGTCACCAGCACATATCACATTCTTCATGTTATGAACGAGCAGCTGTTGAGAGGATACCTTTTAAATATTTACTAAAATACAAAGTTATTTTGTTTCACTTGTGGGGAGGAGTTGCTTTCGACAATCTGGCACCTAGTAACGTTTTTTTGAAAGGGCATATTCATGTCATGATCAACAGTTACATAATACATAGTAGAACGGATTCGGTAAGGTATGACCCCATTCTCTTTATCGTGCGTGTTATTACTTATCGATTTTATTACTTATCGATCGTTACTTATCGATTTTAATCTGTAAGTATGTTGATAGGTATTTGTCTGCCTGTCTGTTTGTTTGTCTGTTAGATGCACGCGATATCTCACGAAAGCGAGATTGAATCTGCTCTGCATTTTGCAAGTGCATTTATCATATGTCGTGCCAGAATCCTATTGATTTTGGTTAAATTATGTCATATAATTAGCGAGTTATTAATTGATTAGTGATGGGACACAAGGTGTTACTATAGAGTAATTGGGGGATCCCCTAACTTTCGATCGATAAGTCTTCGGTCTCTGACCGATATTCTCGTTTTCTCCAGTTGTTCACATTTTTTTTTATTTGGCAACATGTTGTTCATCAGATCATCTGTTATCTTTTGTTCTCAACTACTAGGTCAATTGTCAAAGGCATTTTCTTTAATGACCTTGGATCCCAACATTTTAATCAAAATGTTTCTAGTTTACCCTCAAAACAGTACATTAATATAGTTTCACTTTTCTCTTGGTCTACTGTGACAATTTAAAAAAAAACAATCTTCTGTTTTGAGTCTTGGTGTTAGTTCACGAATCCTTGTGTTTGTTTTCATCCCAATCCTATATATCTAACTTTCATTAGCATTCAAATGAGCATATATCTATTTTTTTAATAAAATATATTTTACAAAATTTAGTTTAAGCCCTGTGTTCAAATTAAACTAACTTGCAATTTTTAAATAAAACAATGAATCCAATGCAGCGGTTATTTAGTTATTCAAAGATATGAATATATATATATATATGAGATATGTTTAAATATATATAACTCAATAACGAGCTGGCTAATTATTTCTCATTGCTAAAAGCGTCATTTAATATCGCGAAATGAAATAATAGTATATATGTATGTTTTGCATAAAATCACCAAATATTTGCTGGTCAAAAAATTGTTTCTTCACATTTTGCCATGTTAGAGTTCGAGGTTTCGCGGTTATTTTCATCGTTGTCATAGCCCGCATTGATATACCGCACAGTCTTCTGTTGTTCCATATTTTCTCCGTCTACTAAAGTACTTTCAGGAATGCCGAAACGAAACAGTTTGGAGTTAATGAATGGGACGAATAAGTCTGGATTAGCCTCTGAAATTTTGTTGAATCCTGTTCAACAAATGAAAATGATATCAATAAAAAAATCACAAAGTTGAATTAAAATAAAACATACATTCAGAAACACAAGGGGGAACTTGACCAGCACAGGAATCGTTTACCGCACGCAATGATATCAACCAATTAATTACATGTTTAGAAATCATTGTGTGACTGAGTATTTATTTTTCATCTTGTGCTAGTGTCTTTCTTGCAGAAAAATAAAGAAATCCTAAATAAAACTTTTTTACGTTATAGATGAAATCTGGTCAAAAGCTGATTCTTCATGAAATCGTAAATATATTCCGAGATTAAACATTATAGATATTGCCTCCTTCCGCCGAAAAGGATTTTTTTTATAAAAAAAAAACTTAAACAAAATTAACGATTATCATATAATATTTTTATTAAAAGCATTTACAGACCTGTTAAAAAAGATGCAACATGTCCAAAAAATATTGAAACTAGGAATCCACACGTTCCATACAAATATGGAGACAAAGAGTACAAGGTGTAACCTAGAACAGATCTAAAATAAAACAAATGGATAAATAATTATTGTCAATTTAGTCACACAATTCCTCATTTTCACTCCGAAATCAACTCGTTGTCCTGGCGAACGGTAAAATCAGAGATAAGCGAGTCTCAATTGGCCTAGATTTCAATCGACCCAGCATTATTCGAGTTGAAATGAATTTCCTCAATTAATGGCATATTGTCTGGCACAGCGCGGCAGACTTCCTACCGTTACGTCAGTATCTCATAAAAACATTTGATTTTCGTATTGTTCATAAAATATGTAATTTTGGACAGAAAATGGTAATTCTATATACTATATTGAATTCTAAATATTTTGACAAAATTTGGCGATGGTATTATTATTGAAACTACTATTGGTTTAGTCTATTTAGCTGCGGCGGCCAACGGCCAAAAACATAAAATTTGTAAAAAATTCGAAAAAGTACCCTTCTTCTTCAGAAATCGTGGACATCTCGGAAAAGTTAGTCAAATCTGTGGAGCGTCCAGTTGAAGACATGGTTGTGACATCATAAGCAGAGTTTGCAGTGCAGTTGTCCGTAGATATGGGTAAAGTCTCACTTGCCGCATAAAATGTTGCTTGAGAAGATGCAGAGATAGCAATCCAGCTACTAAATGCCGTACCACTTACCACTCCGGCCAGGGCTCCCTGCAAAATAAAAATTATTTCAAGGAAAATGAGTTGTATTGAAGTTTACTATTTTAGTAATTCGGAGAGATATAATTTGCACAATAATTCATTCATACCCAACTGTTTATCCATGGCATGAACAAGCCCATCGTAAAAACGCCGAGAATGGGTGTTGATATTGACGCTACAGCAACGTTGACTTGTAATATATTACTAGATGCAGTGGACACAAGATAAGCAATTCCCATAATGACTGCGCCAAACAGAAGACCTGCATTATATATACGAAATTTTTCACGTTCAGCGTATTTGCGGTACTATTTGACTAAAATGGTAAATGGAACATACTCAAAAATTTGCTGCAAAGTATTTTCTTCCTCTTAGATATTGCTGGAAAAAATCGCAAAACGAAATCTTCTAGAGCTAATGCTGACAAAGAGTTGACTCCAGATGATACTGTGCTGTTGTATACATATTAGATTTAATAGTAAAATGTATTGTGAAAGCATTAAATAATGAAAAAAATTTTAAATATCATGTTGAAAGAAACATTTATTAGAATCGTTAAGGTTGACACACATAGCGCAGTGCAAGTACTACCATGCCAGTACGTGTCGGAGAAGTTTGTATTACCCTCTTTGTAGTCAAATTATATTATCTACCTGATGTATATTATTGAGCTCATATTTGAATGAATTAGGATGAATATCCCTGTTTTCCAGTGGCGGCGCGTGGTCATTTTGACAACCGGGGCAAGCTACTGCGGGACCAAGTCACCCCCATCTACGGGGACAGGATGAGCGCTGTAAGTTCTCCCATCATTTTATGAGTATAAAAACCATTCCATCGGTAACAACCAATCGGCAAAAGCGACAATTTTTAACGATAAGAAAGTGTCTTTAAAACCGGTCCAAGTCAAGGGATCAATAAATATAGACATAGTTTATTTTGAAACCTCTTTCAAAAGGAAAGGCAATATTTACCCAGATAAATACAATGACATATTAACAGAAACTTCGGGAAAGCAGACAAAACCTAAAATAAGGTTTAAAACGTTACTATGGAGAAAGGAAAGGTAATGCGAAGATAAGGACATGCGTCGCTCACTCATAGATATATATGCTGCTAGACTTCTACTGCTTGAACATATATGCAACACGCCGCTGTTTCTTGGAAGCAAAATGCTCAATAACGCGCTGATTAAAGTCATGCATCCCAGAAATAACGTCTCTGTGAATGGATAAAATAGTCAAGGAATTTAATCTATCTTGCTTCATTGTGTTTCTGAGATACGTTTTAATACGCTGCAGCGTACTGAATGTTCGCTCTGCGTCGGCGGAAGAAATAAGCGTCGTCAAAATGATGTCCAGAAATTTTGCAGACGCCGCAAAGGTAGTTACTAGAGTGTTATCTATGAGAAACCCATAGAGCGCGCAAGTTGATGTGATGTTCAAAAAAGTTTGATTGGTGTATATACATCGCAATTCATTTTCCAATTTACCCACGTTTATCATGGGGTAAAATTTGGAGACAGTAGCCAACAAATGGATGGGAAATTGACGTGCAAATTTTGAAAAATTTTTGGGGTTCATCAAAGAGAACGCGGCAAGGTGTTCAGTGCGCAGACGATCGCCTATTTGATTCACCAGAATGTCACAGCATTCCTTTGCAGACAAAATCAAACGCTGCGTTGTTTGCCCGCGGCGTAAAGAAGCACTCCATGTGTCGTCGTATTTTATTGTTTCCCGGATACGAGATACGGCATCGCAGAAGTCTGAAATACACGACTGCACAGACGCTCCATCCATTAGCCTTGACTGCAATGCGCCTTATAATACATCCACGTGATAGAATATTGTGGAGAAAAAATGAAAACTCACCATCTTCTAGCAGACGCTTTAGACCTGCCGCCTCCCTCACAGAGCGTTCGTCCCAAACCGGAGAGCTCTGAATGCCATTGAAACACTCAATGAGCTCAGACCTAATTTCGCACACGCCTTGCACCACGCGTGATTGGAAGTTCCAACGTGTTGGTGCACAAGCTGGGAGACGGCGGCTACATATCTGGCGAAGGAGGTCAGAGCGCTTCGGCGAAACTGAAAAAAATGAAGAAAACCCCGAAACATTTGCAAAAAATATACGGACGAGAGGGGTATCAAGACACATATTTTTAATAACGAGGTTAAATTGGTGTGCATAACAATGTAAAAAATGCGCATGAGGAAATCTTTTTTATATATAAACTTGAACACCATGTTTCGACCCACTCATGACTGCCGCGCCGTCATAAGTTTGAGCTATCAATTTCGACTTCGCGTTGTAAGGCTGTAACACTTCTTTCAGTACAGCCGATATCCCGCAAGCCGTGCGATCAACGATTGGTACAAAGCTGTGAAATCTCTCGGTAGGTTTACCATCTTTCACAAACCGAAAAATCACAGCCAGTTGGGAAACGCACGTGATGTCAGTTGTCTCGTCAGACTGAATCGAAAGGAACTGGCAATTGTCAATTTCCAGAGCCAAATGTTGTAAATAAATTTTATACATTGAGTCGAGCAAATCATTTTGGATATCCTTAGATGTCCCTTTCGAAACAGTTGCGGCATCAAGATGATCTCTCAATACAGTATCTAGGGATGCGGTGTATTCCACCATATCCGAAAAATACCCCTCTATTAGAAGAGCCAGCCCGTTCATCGTGCCCACGGAGGGACTGCTCGTTACAACCAATGAACTTCAAAACATCTATCAATCGACAGAGAACATGGCGGTTTTTCTCGACGTTTTGGTTGTGCCGACGAATAGAAACCGCGCGTCCTTCATCCAACTGTGCTGCAATATTAACTTTTCCGAATGTTCGGTATTTTACTGCATGGTCCAGATGCTCCATAGAAGATTGATGATCCCTGGCACGCTCGGAAAGATGTTTAAGATCTCTAAAACCAAATTTACACCAACGTGAGTCACGGGCGGTAGCAAAAAGTAGGCAATAAAAACAAAAAAGTGCATTTTTGTCCTCGCTGTAACACAACCATTCGTGTTTTTTATATCAAGTTTCTGCGCAGAATGTACGCCGACGCTTTCTTCCGTCATGGCATTGTTCCAGTGAACAATTTTTTGGTTGATAAGGCCCAAGACGTTGTACCTCTAATTTTTGTTCCAGCGGCAGCTGCGAAGTAGTGCATCAACCTTATTCATTATGAGGTCTAAGGCTAAGAAATGCGAAGCCGGAAAGAAGTGAGGAGCTCAAAAGAAATGTGGAAAATCGAAAGAAAATGGACTGAAGGTCTCTAACTGATTCAAATAGCGAAACAAGCGACAAAAACGAAGTCGTCATAATTTCGGGGCTAGCCCCGATCGGCCTCGATGTTTAGTAAAAGAAACAGAAAACAAACGAGACAAACGCGGCGAGTGGAAGATAAAAGAGAGAATACGATATACAATGAGCAACCGGGGCAAAATCGGCGTCGCCCCGTCGACGTTCGGCGAAGGCTTTGCGAGCGAAAAATGAACCATGTCGGGAGAATATGGCTAGTTTAGACAGTCTGTGCAACCGATATTGAGGTATTTTTCGAATATTTTTTATTATACCGAAAAAACAACCGGGGCATTGCCCCGGTTGGCCCTATTGAAGCGCCGCGCCGCCACTGCTGTTTTCTGTGAAAGCCATATATAACTATTGGTTCGTCTTATTCTTTAGTATTTCCTGATGTCCCACATCAGAAAACCATGATTTTTTAAATTGGATCATTGACTCAGTTACTCACCTCAGAGTCCCACTGAATGTAGCAGCCACAAACATCCCTGTCATTCCAGGCATATCTTGAAATACTTCCAAGGCTAATCGTGGTATTGCCTGGTCACTTTTTTCAACCAAACCCGATAGAACCGGATCGCAACCTTCATAATAAGCATACAGAACTAATCCATTCCCTACACATAGTATCATCAGGATAGTAGTAGGTATCCATTGTAACCAAACAGCTCTGTAAAAATGCAATGAAAAAGGAACAAATCTAAACATATCAAATTCTTTTCACAAACGAAAATTTTTCAATGAGTACATTATACAAAAATTTGAGAGAATCGGCGGTTTTCTACTTTCGACTAAACCAAAACGTTAGCTAAGCCTCTTCATGAACCCATGCACTTTATCTGAAATAATTTTCTGAGAATGTTTTGATAGCAGTGTGTGAGATAATTTAAAATCTCAAAATGCACATGATGAATTCAATTCTATTGTACGGTACAATATACATATAAACTTACGCCCTAGACGATCGGACCGAATCACAAGACAAATATCTTTGAACCGTAACTTGATTGCAACACGCAAGATAACAGCCCCCAACTGCTGTACCAATAAATCGTGACCATGCTGTACTTCGGATCCTGGGATCAATGTCGAACCTGAAAATAAAAATGATATTGTTAGCGTTGTGAAAATCAAGATCCAGAATCTTTTAGATTTATAAATATGGTTGTTTCAAAAGTAGGCTATATCTGACTTAAATTATTATTTAGGCAGAGCCCAATGTTTATTGGCCACAATCAACGAGGTTTCCACTTACTTGAAGAAATTAAGTCGACCTCCGCGTTCTGCGGCCTTCCATATAAGTCCAAAACCGCCATACAGCAGTGTTGTGTAAATAAAAACAGAAAGTATGCCTCCTAGCATGATAAGGGCCTGCAAGACATCCGTCCACATCACTGCTTTTAATCCACCCTGAATATACATTTGAATACTGTATTTTATATATATACTGAAAAACTACTTTCTAACTCATATTGATTTTTCAACTATTTCAACGAAGTTGTGCACATCTAATTATCTTCATTTCACAATAATTAAAATTTCCAGTTTCAAAGTACAGCAGAATATATATATATTTACTGATTGAAGCATATAATAGAATTTAAGTGAATTCAACATATACGTACGATGGTGGTATAGAACGTACACACTATGCTAGTAATTGCAATCGTCCATCTTAATTCAAGAAGAGTTACGGCGCTCAATGCAAGAGATGGAAGATAGACGGTTATACCCAAGTAGAATATCTGAAAAATTCAAAAATTTGAACAAAAAAAAGCATGACAATATTTCTTATATATCGTCGATATAACGTATAAATTTCAACATTGAACCACAAATTGGCTTTGAAACGCGTCTTCATACAATGTCGTATAAATGAGGTTTATACAATTGTAAAGTTCTTCTGAGTATTCGTACGTGAGCACTGGTTTAAGATTCTCACCGTTTATTAATATTATAGTAAGGCTTCAATAATTTATTTAGGAAGTTAATTGCATAGCTTACCAAAGCCACCATTGAAATCGCCGAGGAAAAATACCGAATTCCTGGATGAAAGCGTAGATCCAAATACTGAAAGAAAAATAATCAACATGTGGATTGCAAGCATTTGGGCCAAAATTTTAATTTCACGAAAAACTATTTTATATGCTGTCATGGTAGGGATATCCTGTACATGTCAGATCCAATGAACTCAATACTCCAATCACAAAAACGTTTCCACACGATATCCATACCTCGAACACGGTCTTCAATCGTAGTCGACGATACAAAGGGATGTAATATTTTGAAGCGACGAAGAAATTTATGGGTTCTGCAAATATCGACCAAGTCCAAACCACACCAAAAAGGTATATTTCAACTGGAATGGAAATGACAGCAATTGCTGATATGAAGGACACGGATAAAGATATTGCGACGAGAATCTGAAATGCAAGTTTAGGCAATAAAAATAGTCCACAAATGAGACAATGTACATTGTACAGTTTAAATTCGTAAAAATGCAATTTCAAATCCCAAGTTAAATTAAATCGTAAATTATGTAATGAATTAACAGAAAATTGTTGCACCTACCGGTGACACAGTTCTTCCGCCAAAATAATAATTTTCAGTCGTTTCATCTCTTCTGTCTTTGTATGCAAAATAGATCCCAATCAGAGCAGAAGAAAATAATATTCCTAAATAGGATTTTAACATTATTGAATAAGCAAATAATGATAAGTCTCAGACCGCCAAATAGATTTCAAAATGAGACGTTTTGAATGTGGAAATTCAGCGACATATTCCAGGAGTGAGATTGTGAATTGTGATATCCAGTGATATGCTGGTTTGGATAAAAAAAACATTTATTTTTTAACGACAACTAACTTTGTGCGCATATTTTATTAACACCCCAATGGTCTATATCAATTTGTAAATATTTTTACTAATGAACCAATTTGTACATATTACATGATCAACGAAATTGTTGATACCACGACAATTTTTAAAATTTCTCCACTGTTATTATGGCGAGAAAAAACATCCGAAACTTACCTCCAAATATAACGAAATCGGCAACTTGAAAGTATCCATTCGCTGACTCCATTTTGTTGTGATACTTTTAAAAAGATTCTGAAACTAAAACAATTTATCAGTTTGATTTATTCAATAGACTATTAAATAAGCAATGATTGTAAATATGACTACTGTGAATATTCCTAATGTAGGTAGGGTTTACTTAAGAATATGAACCACTTCTTGCTAGAACAGAGTTTGTGCTTTAGTGAACTGTGATTGTCTTCATCCAACCTTTATGAAAGCCAGTGTGTACCTTTCTATAAGCGCAAACAAAGCGATTAGAATAATGGAGTGTATAAACACTGTTGAATCCGTTTGTAAAAGCATTTTTAATTTCATGACTCTGACGCCATTAGTTCTATATAGAAGCCGCCGCGACTAAGTAACTACCCCAATGCGGCGTTTTTCTAATCATTCATTCTCTTCTTATATCACATGCACATATCTTTTCGAGGTGAACTGACATATTATCAGTCAGAACATATGTGTCCAAACGCTTGTTCTTCATCCTTCCCGGGGTAAATGATCTGTCATGATCTGAATAACAATGGTTCATCTGAATGAAAAAAATGTATACATGTATGGTTCTAAACTACAAAACGAATATTGATTGAAACATTAGAAATGACTTCTAACACGAGTTACTTGAATTGGTCGGTGCCAAGAATTTGAATTTGATTAGTTTTTGGTTTTGGTTTAGTTTTAGTTACTGCCAATGTCTAAACAATTGTTCATTGAAGAGGGAATTAGTTTCAAGGTAGTTGTTGAGTTGTTGTTACCAGCACATAGCACTTCCTTATGTTGTAAACGAGCAGCAACGAGCAAAATACAAAATTCTTTTGTTCCACTTGTTGTGAGGAGTTGCTTTCGACAATTTGGCACCTAGTAACGTTTAATGGGCCATGATCAACAGTTATAATACATATTATAGCGAATTCGTTAAGATATGACCCCATTCTCTTTACCGTGCGTGTGATTTTCTTCAGTTGTTCACATTTATTTTCTGTTGGGCCCCAAGTTGTTCATCATATCATTTTGTAATCTTTTGTTCTCAACTACTAGATCAAGTACCAAAGTCATTTTCTTTATTGCCGTTGGAACCCAACATTTTAATCAAAAGGATTCTAGTTCATTTGCTTGGTTATATAATAATTTCTTCGCATTTTGCCATGTTAGAGTTCGAGGTTTCGCGGTCTATTCCATCGTTGTCCTAGAGCGCATTGGTATATCGTACTGCCTTCTGTTCTTCCATGTTTCTCCGTCTCAACTAGTTTACTTTCTACTAGTCTAGTGATATGCCAGTTGAGACAAAACTTTTTGTTTTAGAAAACTAACTATGTGCGCATATTTAACACACCCAATGGTCTATATCAGGGGTGGCCAACTTGCTCTCGGACGCGATCGACTTAAATCTGTTAAAATACTTCGCAATCGACTGATTGGTAATAAGGTCATACGCAAAAACGAAGGAGTACTGTATATGTAGATAACTGCACAAACGCATACAAAAAATTTCACCGTTACCAATAAGCTCGGCTATGTGGGCGCTATTTTTTTTTCATTTAATTTGTTAATTTAATTATGTAATTATACCCGGAAGAAATTTTCATCATTTATTTGAGATTTATTCGAAACATACAACTCAGATCTACAGCCTGCCTAATTTTTAGTCGAAAGTGTGGAAAATTCCTCAAAAAAAACTGGCAAAGTATCCATATTGTTTAGAAAGCGAAAAATAGCTATTCTCAAACCGTAAATGTTACATGACTGATCAAAATTCAGTATCTAATTTACAATTTCCTCCAAGTTCGATCGCTTGGAATTAGAAAAAATTGGTCATTCTGATATTTAACGTATTACACTAATCTTGGAGGGAGACATCATTCGTATACTGAATAGGTTATTGTAGGATCGTTTTTCAGTCAAGGCACACGATATTCGGCACACTAAATTGTAAACCTCAACAGATGCGAAACTTGCATTTGTTATGTACTGATATGCTCTATCGGGCTTGTGCAGAGTTAAATACTGTATGTGTATGTCATATTTTGCGCACGTATAGTACTGCATTCGTCTTTTTTAAAACACAACAGGCGCTGCATGAAACTGGTCCAAGGCAACATTTTGAGGGGTATGTTATTAAACTCACTCAACATCAGACGCGATCGACTACTCCAGACGTGGCGATCGACGTGTTGCCACCCCTGGTCTATACCAATTTGCCAATTAGAAAAGTATATACCTATTACATGAGCAACGGAATTGTTGTTACCACTGCAAAATTAAAAATGTTTCCACTGTTATTATATGGTGAGCAAAAACATCCGGAATTTACCTCCAAATATAACGAAATCGGCGACTTGAAAGTATCCATTCGCAGACTCCATTTTGTTGTGATACTTTTAAAAAGACTTTTGAAACTAAAACAATTCATTAGTTTAAATATATTATTCAGTCGACTATATATATATAAAAAGGGTTTTGTTTTTTTATCAATTCTAAATAAAACATCCTGTTTTAAAAGGGCTTGTTTTTTCTGTATTTTTCATTGAAATACCACTTGAATTGAAACGCCGTGAAACTACGCCAAAATGTTGCGTTTTGGCAGCTGTACGGAAGAATAATTTCAAAAATATAAGTAAAAATTCTCGCTTTGACTTTCACTTTTATTGCGAACCTTTAATGCCAAGTAAATACCTACACCAAAGTCATGAGATTTCATCAGGAGTGCATTACGATAATGAAGAATATACTTAGATCGGCGGCAACCTACGAATTTAGACGATGAGACACCCTAGCCTAGGCTATGCTAATGGATGTTTCCCCGATTTCCCCTATACTTCACTATTGTAAAATTTTGGAGGTTTAGTTTTCTCGTGTTTCGAAGAGTTGGCACTCACAAACTGATCCACATGCCCAAAGCCATTATTTTCATTAAAGTATATAACCCCATATCGTTCACAGATACTGATATCTAATTTTAGCCTAGTCTATCGCAGCTTTTCCGGGACTAGTATATGTTTATTACAACTAAACTAAAGCTCGTCGGTAGTCATAATGACAATCAAATTTCTTCATTTAGAACGAGGTAATTTTTGAAAGCACAACTGCTATCGCATATTTCAACAATTTGAACAATCTGTACAAAGAATTTGTTTCAGATACCACATGCCTCTTCTATGTCCTCTTTATACGTCTTAACGACTATGGACAAAAGTAAATTCTATATTCATCTATTGCGTTTCCGTTAAAAACCGGTCACCGGGTAGTAAAGTCGACCCACAAAACTCTGCCTTTTTCAGGGTAAATGACTTCAGATGCAAGCAATCAAATATGAAAATGCTTAAAGGTAGACGAAGATAGAAATAAAATAGACTTTTGAGTTGAAACAAAAAACAGTAATTTCTTTTAATCCAACTATACAATAGTGAGAAAACAACTGATGCCTACAGTTAGAATCATTTATACTGATTGAGTGGTAAAAGAGAAAACATCGAATGTAAAAAAATAGAAGATAGTACGTACCATCAACAAACTACGTTCGAAGGGGCGCTATAAGTAACTCCAAGTATCAGTAGAGTGCAACATTACAATATGGTCGCGATTGGCGTGAATATTTGTAGTGTTCAGGTAAAAGACAGTGGAAGGGCTTTAATCATAGGATAGCATCACAAACATCAAGTTCAATCATTTTAGTCGGCTTGGTAAATTAATAATGTGTGTACACGACTCGCCCATCCATATTCAATCACACTAATTACTATGTCAAACAAGTGATAGAAAAGCAGTTAGGGAGCTACTGGAGAGGTTAACCAATTTTTTCTAGATTACAGATATTTTGTTTAATAATCACTTTTTTCACCGATGCTATTCACGAAAAAACTCAAAGTCTTTCTACTGCTTTGGTTGATGACAGCATCTCTTCCTGCAGCAGACAAAATAATTAGTAATCCAAAGGATGACAAAAAAAGGCAAAAAATATCGGGAAGGTATGTATAGAAATAATATATATTTCATACCTTTCAAAATAATAATGTAATTTCTGTGCGTTATTAGTTGTTCAAGTTTTATAAATAAAGAAATATAGTGAGTTTAAGCAAACGTTAATACTAAATTCAGCGTTTTGCAAAATCAAAGAAAACACACCTTTTCCGTCTTTGGTAAATGACAAAAATGATGTTAAATTGATATCTCAAAAAGATTTCTAAACGTTTGTAAGAATATTTCTCCTATGCCAAAAATGTCTTTTTCAGATCTGCATTAGAAGACAAAATGAAGATAAGATGTTACCGAAATTAAATTTTTCTGTTTTTATTTTTACGTATGACAAATAACTATTACCATCAAGTGTAACATTAAGTGGGTGAGATGATTCAAGGAAATACATCAAAAAACATGGAGGGTACAATAAATAAGACCAGTGGTTCTCAAAAGGCGAAGGTATGTTTCATTCAAAAAATACGTGGATGAAACGTAAATAATGAAACAAAAAAGACGGGAAAGATCTAATCTAATAAATATTTTTATTTTTAGATAGCGTAACGCCACTTCAAAAAATTATCTACGCCCTCTTGTGCCTCATCGTTTGAGAACCACTGATATGAGGCGATACATTGATGCTTTAATATCGAATGGAAGGGTTGGCAATTTCTTCACCTGCATTATTAATCTGTTTCATTTTGCTCTGATAAGAACAAAATCGTATTGCACAAACATCTCATCCGAATTTGACACGCTCGATGGTCAAAAGCAAATTTGAAATACACTATTTCGGCAGCTCACATATATGCTTATAAGTCATGACAAACAGTTAGATTTTCGAGACTCAGAGTCTGGCGCCTTTGTTGGTATTGGATTCCGCCCCAAACTTTAATCAAGGATCAAAGTTTTAATTTTCAAAGAGGGTTGTTTGTCCCTGAGCTTTTTTGAAGTCGAGAGTAGTTTCCGAAAATACTCGAGTCGTCCTCCGAAGCCCGAGGAATAACTTACTGCATTTACATTAACAAAATATAAGGTGTAATGATATTGACACTTCTACACAGTCGATTATTAACTCCGCTCGGGATATCATTAA